ATGATCTGGTTGAACTGTAAAGTGCCTTGAGATGACATGTGTTGTGAATTTGGCGCTATATAAATAAACTGAATTGAATTGAATTAAAATATCAGTAAAGATGATTTTTCTTTGGCAAAACAATCGAGAGGCTCATTGGTTTTAGGCCCACTATCAAACCGTCAGAACCAGATGGACAGAAGTTGACAGCTCCAGCAGTTTCCCTCTGTTTACCTGAACAAATCTGAGGGGCTCAGAGCAACCAATGACACATCGCAAACTCTATCCGCCTTATGTTGAACCATGTGATTCTTACCAGATTTACAGCTGTCAACTAGGTCGTCCTCCAGAACCACCACTAAGGAGCGAGGAACACTGCCCACCGCCAGCCGCTGCACCTGTCAGAGAACCGCGTCACTCTTCTCCCTTTCTTTTTCGGCTGCATTTCAAAGCAAAAGAGCAGAGAGCAAATGTTTCTTACTTGCTCCTGGATCTTGATTTCTTGATAGTCTCTGCAGGCGGCAGGCTCAGATGCTTCAGACAGACAGCTGAACTTAGAGGAATTGCAGCCAGCAGGATTGGGGCAGCCGACCGGCTGGACAAAGGTATAGAACTGTTCAAAATCTGCCTGCGCCTTGAAAACATGTCTGCACTTTGAGCAGATGTAGTCCCGTTCAAACTCCAGAACCTACAAACAGAGAGGAAGGTATCAGTTCCCACTAAGGGACCTCCTCTGTCCTACGTACTGCAGAGGAGTTAGACTCTGCTTCACCAGCAGAAAAGCTATGAATAGGGAGAGTGGAGAAATTAAACATCCACTATTAGTGAGGCTTCGCCATCATAGGTTTACCTACAGTTAGAAGCTTTGTTTCTAGACAAATCATTCATCTTCTCAACATTAAATACGGTATATTCAGAGCTGCTAAGGTTTTTCCAAAGTCATCCTCCAGTCACCAGAAAGCTTGATTAAATCACAATGCAAAGGGGAGAGGGTTGACTTATTTATGAGGCAAAAACATTTTTACATCACTATCATGCAATTTACCTATACAGTCATCATTTTTGGTCAGTTTGTAGACTAAAGCCTCTGCTTTGTCCATGGAATGACTCTAGGATTTATGGTTTTGCTTAAATCTCCTCCAGACCGCCCAAAAGTGTGTGCATTTTGAGAGGAGGAGTCACAGCTGTGACTATTTTCCTACATATTTTCTAAATGACATACAGACATGAAATTAAAGACAATCGAGGGCAAGGGATGGCTTTTGCTTACGGTGAAAACATGTTTATAAAACCATTTATGGTTTTCCCACAGTGCTCGTTTGTTTTATTGATCTTCTCACTGTGTTTGTCAATAGCCCTATAAACTCTACCCTTTAGAAACCGTGCTGAGATCGGTCCGAGCACCTTAACCAAGGTAACTGTTGAGTGGAAATGGCACTAACAAATGAAACGGACCATGCCAGACACAACCGAACTGCTCTAAACTGGTAGTAGTTCATCAGTAGGGCTCAGCGTTGTTCAGTTCTGGCTCAGTTCTCTGATAACAAAAGAGAGCATGAGCAGACCGCCTCATCTCCTTACAGTCAGCCTCCGTAATCAGGAAACTTCAGACATTCATAAAAATCCCAGCCCCCCTACCGTGCCACATGATTTCCAGTGATGGTTCTGCTTAGCAGAGTGATGAACCTAAACGCCTGTCATTGTTTCCTGCGTCTCGAAGCCCTGATCAGACTATCGTTTGTCGTATCCACTTCCCAAAACCCGACTCTGTCAAGTAAATTCACCAAAGGCTGCCTTCTTCACCTGACTCTCCGTAAACTTCCTGAATGTTACGGGCGTCGCCATATTGGTTTGCTTGTTTCCCTTTAGAGAGCAGTAGTACCGTAGATCGCCGCTAAGAGGACAGGAACCGTGCTAGCGTGGTGTGTAAACGCTCAGCACGGTTAACTGATCCAAGCTCACCACAGATCACTTTTTCAGAGGGTAGTGAACATGGCGCTATAGAGCTACAGAAGAAATGAACCTAATCTAGGACAAGGGATGGAGCAGATGACGGGGTGGGATGACTGAGTGGATGGCGGAGTGACGTCACCTTAGCCACACTGGTGCGTATGACGGTACCAGTCACAGACAGAAAATGACCCACATCTCTGGACCTGGGGATGGTATGTCTGGTTAGTTCTGGACACACCGGGAGACCTGGGGACACGTTTTCACAAAGAGCAGAAAACCAACATGAATTTAAAGAGGAAGAAGTGTACATCGATCATTTAGGAATTGCTCTGAATATTAATCTTATGTTGCTCTGCAATACTTGATGTTCCTTTAGTGCTGCCTTCATAATGCAGGAACCTTAATTCAGCTACTACTAGAATAAACGCTTCAACTGACAATGAGGAAATGAGCAGCAGAGACAAAGCGAGACTCGGCTGAGCCTGGGCAGCTGGACGTCTGACCTGTGATGCGGGTGTGATAGATCTGCCTCTGTCTGGATCCTGGTCTTCTGTCTTTGAGGGAAGCATCATCTGCTAGCTCCAAAGCTTTCTTCTGTAACACCTCATCAAACACCGCCAGCACATCTTCTGGGTATGCATTGAAATAGTCCCCAACCTTCAGAGAGAAAGGAGTTAGGATACACACCCTCGCTAGTCTGCCCTGGGACAGCCAGCCTGTCAGTCTCCTCTCTGACTCCCACAACTCCCTTAATCTGAAGGATGGACCCAGTGACCTTTTAATGGATACAACATCGGTTAGAAATCATAGCAACTTTCCCCAAAATCCCCATGAGGAGCTTTTAAAAGTGTGTCTCTGATCAGAGGCAGTGCTTCCCACAGGATTATAGCAGACTGTGGTGGGAGAGTCTCTGACCCTCAGGTTTTCATGTGTGCACATTTAAGCGTGGTGTATCCCACTTAAAGGGGTACGCCGTTTTTTGTTTTGTTTTTTTTACATTGGGCCCTTGATTTTACTTTATTCCATCATGTTCTACTCTCCCATATGAGTTTTGTGTCATTTGGAGCCGTTCTGAAGATATTCCGCCGATATGACGGCGCACGGATGACGTCACACACACTCCGCTTTGTTTTAAAAAATATAAATACTAAAAATATAACGGCGGATGTCTGGGGACAGTGATTGGCCTACATGTTCTGAATGCTGGCGTACCATAAAGAATAAATGATGAACAGTTTAGTTTGTGCCTTCAAGTCGTTGCCCATAGGAAGACGTTACTGGATATAACCTAACGGAATATCTTCAGAACGGCTCCAAACGACACAAAACTCATATGGGTGAGTAGAACATGATGGAATAACGAAATATCAAGGACCCAATTGAGAAGAAAACGGTGTTCCCCTTTAAGTGCCTTTTTGAGGCCACCTTTTTTTTTACTTTTTCTTTTTTCCCCTTGTATCCACTAAGGAGCCTACAAGTCATTATCTTAGAGAGGAAAACACAATAAACAGCTGATTAACGAGACTGTGGCGGCCCGAACGAGACTGTGGCGGGCTGTGGCGGGCCCGAACAAGACTGTGGCGGGCCCGAACGAGACTGTGGCGGGCCCGAACGAGACTGTGGCGGGCCCGAACGAGACTGTGGCGGCCCCGAACGAGACTGTGGCGGCCCGCCACTAAGGGGATTTGCTGTTTTTTATCAGAGATAAGAGGCCCTCACTAAGTGACAGCAAGCAGCTCAGAGCAATGAACCAGGAATCTAGATGAGAGAGGAGCCAGTCTCCCTGGATGACTGAGTATCAGAACCAACCTCTGAGCTCTAAACGTCACATTTTCTTCTGCTTTCTCCACATAACAACAAACCCCATCAACTTACCTCCATATTGGCTTCAAACAGCGTCATGGCGTTGACCACGACGGAGCGATGAGAGTCTTCATTTATGTCGGTGAGGAGCTGCAGAAGCTCATCCTGATGATGCTCCGTCAAATAGGTCTCAAACACTCGACCAATCAGGGCCTCTTCCTCCGGGTTAATCAGCATGGCGAGGCGGTGAGCTCTGGAGGACCAAAGGCAGAGGTCAAAACCTCCCACATGGTTCCCACTGAGGGAAGCTGGATCAGGCCTGGATCTATATCTAGGAACACTGGATGGAACCAGAAACAGAACCAGAACCAGAACCAGAACCAGAGCTCCAGCAACAATCTGCTACTTCTGAGACAGTTTTACTGTCCAACACATTTTACCCAGAAGACACTTTATCACCAGAGAAACGCTGAACCGCGCTACGAGGCCAAACTCACTACCAGAACCAGTTGATTCTAGCAGAACCAGCCCGTTCTAGCAGAACCAGCCCGTTCTAGCAGAACCAGCCCGTTCTAGCAGAACCAGCCCGTTCTAGCAGAACCAGCCCGTTCTAGCAGAACCAGCCCATTCTAGCAGCAACCATGATGGCTGGGGTTCCTGGTATGTACTGCCAATACCAGCCCACAGCTGTGCGATCTGAACCAAATAATGTTTTTGAACTACATGGAAATATACATTGTGTATCTTAATATTGGTTTTTTTTATGAGGTAATTTTAAAACAGGATGGATGGATGGATGGATGGATGGATGGATGGATGGATGGATGGATGGATGGATGGATGGATGGATGGATGGATGGATGGATGGAATCCCCAATGTACAAAAAAATTAATGATGGATGTGTCATTCACTGGAGCTGAATGCAATAATAGATTATGACTCAAACGTTTGTTCTAGAAGACACAAGGGGGTTGGGAGCCAACTATACAAAAAATTTGACTGGAACAAATTTAGATTCTTCAGGACGCCACCGCTAACAGCTTCTGTTACCAAGAACACGGAGCGGAGCGGAGTGCTGACTCAGTATGTGGAATCTGGGGGTAATGGTTATTCCCCCCCTGGGTTAGGCTGTAGAAATGGGTTAGAAGTCAATTGAAAGTCCCCACTAGGATAGAGAACTAGACATGTGTGTGAGTGTGTACATTCATGGCCAAAAGTATTGAGAATGACACAAATATTCTATTTTCACCTGATCTGCTGCCCTCTGGTTTTCATGTCAGATGTTGTCATCACATAAGGAAATACAATAGCAATCATATTCTGAGTAACAGAAGCTTTTAATGACAGAATGAGTTAATGCAGCAAGTCAATATTTGCAGTGTTGACCCCTCTTCTTCAGGACCTCTGCAATTCTCCCTGTCATGCACTCAATCAACTTCTGGACCAAATCCTGACTGATAGCATCCGTCTCTTGATGATTGACCACAAGTTTTCAATGGGATTAAGATCAGGGGAGTTTCCAGGCCATGGAGCCAAATTCTCTATGTTTTGTTCCCTGAGCCAGTTAGATATCAGCTTTGCTTCATGGCAAGGTGCTCCATCACGCTGGAAAAGCCATTGTTCATCAACAGACTGCTCTTGGATGGTTGGGAGAAATTGCTCTCCAAGACATTCTCAGATCCTGCAGCTGAAACACTTTTCAGAGACAGTCCTGGTGCTTGCTGGTCTTTCTTGCATTGTTTTGACAACAATGGAACCTCTCTCCTTGAAGTTCTTGATGATGCCATAGATTGTTGACTGAGGTGCAATCTTCCCAGCTGTGATTCTCTTTCCTGTTAGACCATTTTAGTGCAGTGCAATGATGCATGCACGTGTTTCTTTAGAGATAACCATGGTTCACAGAAGGGAAACAATGATGCCAAGCAGCAGCCTCTTTCTAAAGTGCCCAGTGACGTCATTCTGACTGAATCCTGACAGATTGATCTCCAGCCCTGTCCTCATCACCACCCACACCTGTGTTAATGGAGCAATCACTGAAACCATGTTAGCTGCTCCTTTAAGGCAGGGCTGCAATGACGCTGAAATGTGTTTTGGGGGATAAAGTTCATTTTCTAGGCAAATATTGACGTTGCATTTAAATGCTGTTACGCTGATCACTCGTTATAACATTCTGGAGTAAATGCAGATTGGCGTTATAAAAACTGAAGCAGTAGACTTTGTAAATATTAACATTTGAATCATTCTCCAAACTTTTGGCCATGACTGTATAACCCCCTCACCAACACAACAAACGGACAGTAACTGACCTGCTTCACAAGCCGCTGAGCTTCCAAACTTCACATTACGCGGCTTCTTCTTCTTCTTCTTCTTCTTCTTCTTCTTCTTCTTTAGTTTTTAAGCGCAGCTTGCATCCATTATTGTCGCACTACTGCCATCTATCGGATCCTAATATATATCCCTCAAACTCTCATAATGATCCCAGTATTTATTTATTTTTTTTAAAGAAAAATCTTTTTCTTCCACTCCATAATATTTAACTTTTCATTCACATTTTTAAATTTGAATTCCCCATTAAGACCTAATTCTGTTTTTAATAATGTTCTTTGATTTACAAATGTTCTACAGCTAATTAAAACATGTTGCATTGTTTCTAGATTATGAAGCCAACCACAGAAACCAGTTAGATGTTTCCTTATCTTATAAATATTTACATTTAACAAACTGTGACTGGCTCTTATTCTGTTTATGATTATCTCCTCCCTCCTGTTTATCCCTCTAATACTTGCTACATTGACTGTATTTTCTTTCCTATGCAAATGACTTACATTTATTAAATTCATTTATTTATATCCCACCTAATTTTGCATATCTTCTTGCTTTCCTTCCAAGCTAAACTTTTCGATCACTTTACTGGCATTTCAGCATCTTTTTTAATAGCCTCCTTAGCCAAACTATCTGTACTCTCATTTCCCAAAATATGAGCAGCAGTCTAAAATAATACATTTTTATTTTCTTCACATATTCTATGATGAACAGCCATAATCCCATATAATATATTTTGATGGCTGTTTGTACATCCCTTTTCAATACGTAACAATGCAGATAATGAATCACTACAACTTATTATTTCATTTATAAAATTCTATTGTGTGACCATTTTCAATAATCTTTCTGCTGCTGTAAATTTGCCCATTGTCGGACAGTAAAGGGATTTTCTATTCTATTCTATTCTATTCAATAAAAATGGTAGAAATATATAAGTAAATCTAAACAATGTATGTATAAAATATACCTGCAAAATCTCTTATACTCAATCACAAAAAATACTTAGTTAAGCATATTTTGCAAAACAGCAATAAAAAAATATGAATCCTATCAGATTTATAGTTCCCACTCTGCAGATCTATTAGAATCTGTCCTTAAATTGCAGCCAAACCCATTTATTTACACAGTAACAGATAAAAACTTTTGGATAAACCAAACATTACCGCCACATATCTGACTCAATAACAATTAAAACAAATATTTTCATTCATTCCAGACGAAACTATTCACTGACTGGATTATATTAAACTGCACTTCCAATTTTCACCACTGTTCGGCGCCAAGTAACCTTTCCTCTGATCACGGCTTGCTTGGTCTCGCAATGAATCCTGGGTAAACCAAGGATATTTTTTTTTTTAAATAACTTTATTTGGAACAGTAACAATGACAAACTCAAAAATTAAAGTATAATAAAGCACAACATATAGTCAATCATACCTCCTAACACTTTTCTTAATATATTTTTTCTTTTCTTTCAAGTACACTTCAGAAAGAGAGAGAAAAAAACGAAAACCAAAGATATCTATAATTACATATGTCAAATACAACAGAATTATAATGAAAGATAAATGAATAAATAAAAAAATAAAATAAAAAATACAAAACACACACACAATAAAATCAAGTAATTATTCTTTAATTTGTATCGTGGGAGGGCTGAAATAAATTAGAGAGGTGATATGAGAAACTTTTTGCTTTTGGTTTCTGAATTTTGTCCTTCCTTTATTAGCTTTATGGTAAAAGAATCTAATGCATAATACAAAAATCTTTTTAGTCAACTAGATAATATTTAATTAAAATATCTGTGAATGTTAAGTTAAAGTTATAGATTGCAGAAAATGAAATGGAAACTAATATATAAAGACATGTATAAAACTGAGTCTTTATTTTGGAGAAACTTTTCCTGGAAACTGCTGACAAGATAATTCTTAAACCAAGGACATAACTAGATCAACCGGCTCTATGTTGGAGGAAGTGGTGAAGAGAAGGCCGGTTATTTACACATTGATTGGACCTGCAAAATTATACAGCCATGCTGGCAAGGACTTATTAGATCAGGGGTCTTCAAGGTTTTCCAGGCCAAGGACCCCCAAACCGATGGCCAGATGGAGCGGGGACCCCCTTATGTATAGTATTAAATTGTATTATATCAAACTGGTCCTATAGTCCCTCTATTACAGATGGAGTAATGTAACTAAAGTAATTTCTCCCTGGGATTATTAAAGTATTTCTGATTCCTGGTTGATGGGACAGGTGTTGTGAATGAAACGGTGCCCAGCTTAAAGAGCTCCTGTGTGTCGCTGAATGTGAGCATTGATGACTGAAAGATCTTCTGCCTCCATTTATCTGTTTACTACAGTCTGTTCAATTCATGTTAATGTGGATTTAAAGACATTTCAATTAGTGGAAAAAACTGACCCCCCCTAGGGGTCGCGGACCCCCTGTTGAAGAACTCTGTATTAGAGGATATTTATTTTATTTCAAACCAGAAAATGTATTACTTGGACAAATACATATATTTTTAGAAATGTGACTAAACAATGGAGAAAATGCAACCTCCTGCCTGATGTTCAGGAAAGGTTGGAAACAATACATGAATAAACAATAATTAACAATTGACCTACAAAACAAGGAATAAAGAAGAGGTGTTTAAAGCATAGTTTATGACAGATTTTGTTCCAGATAGATAGGGTAAAAGAGGGATATTTTTATTATTAATCTTTAATCTTAGAAACAGAATAAGATTGGAGAAGCTGAATGTTTAGTTTGTTTTTACCTAAAGGATCTAAATGGACCAATATGCTTGATTTTACTACCTTCTAGATGGTTTTTAGCTGTAAATATCGTTATATTTATATAACAGAAATATAGTCACCTTTTGTATCTATGCTTCTTTTTCTATCTCTGCTTCTGTCTCCTTGAACCCCAGTGGGCCTCAGCAGATGGCCGCTCACACTGAGCCTGGTTCTGCTGGAGGTTTCTTCCTGTTCAAAGGGAGTTTTTCCTCTCCACTGTCGTTACAAGCATGCTTAGTGTGAGGGATTGCTGAAGAGTCAATGAGTCGATGAAATCAACTGGTTTTCCTTAGATTTAAAACTTTGAATCAATCTGACTGTATGATCTGGTGAACTGGAAAGTGCCTTGAGATGACATGATATGAATTGGCGCTATAAAAATAAACTGAATAGAATTGAATTAATAGGTAGGGGTCTATCACATTTAAACTATAATTGGCAGCGTTTGTTTACACCTACAGTCAGTCCTATATTTTGTGGGGCGGGGTGATGGGGTCAGGGTTTAATCATCATTTGGTGTTTAAATTACATATTTAAAATGTTTCAAAAATAAAGCCCAAACACATAGCGGAGGATGAAGGGAACAAAGGCAGTCCATGCAGACTGAGCTGCTGCTGCAGAGGAAGAGGAGGAGCGTCATGGCTACGTGCTGAGGAAGAGGAGGAGGAGGAGGAGGAAGAGCTGCTGACAGACCAGCAGCCTGAGCGGCTCCGAACCAGCTTCTGTCCCGATCGGTACCGGTACCGGCTTTATCAGCAGCTCTTCTCATCTTTTTTCTGGGTTCCGGTTTCTTCTGCAGATGATGTGGAACCGAAGCGACGCTGAATCCGGACCTGAAGGGCCCCCAGCAGGTAATGATCGCTGGCCCGCTCCGGGGCCCTTCATTTAAAGCCCACTCCGCTTTACTCTGACACAACAAACATCTCTGGATGTTTAAAACTTTCCTAATATATATGTATATATTCCACGAGACCTGGAGCCCAGAGAGCATCACCTGGACAGGATGCTGGCAGATTATTAATCTAGAGTGGATTAAATCTCAGCTTTATATATAAAGCCTTTTAAAACCTCTACAGCTGCCACAAAGTGCTGCACATATCAGGTAAAGTTGAAATTGTGTAAAAACAACATAGAAGTTTAAAGGAATGAAACAATTAGAATACAATTAACTAATTAAAAAAAAAAAAAATAAAAAAAAAAAGCTAAATCAGAGAGTCTCATGCTGTGTTAAAAGCCAAAGAATAAAAATAGGTTTTAGGACGAGTTTGAAAAACAGTGAGGAGGATTGTCTAATGAGGAGCCGTAACTGAAAAAGCTGTGTCTCCTGTGAGCTTCCGTACCTGCAGCAAGCAAGGGGGGATTTACCATTAGGGGAAAAAATATATATATATATTGGGCAGTTGTCTCGGGCCCCAAGTTCCTGGGGGACCCATAAAACTCCTTTTACACAATTGGTTAATACAACTATTCCTTATTTGTGCACATTAATTATGTTTTTGATAAAATCCTTTCTCTAAAATGCCATCAGAACGTTTATAATATTAAGTGTGTCTCAGCCCCCCCCTTCAGTGTCCCCCATATTGGATCAGTCCATTTGCTGCACATGTTCAGAAAGGTCCAAACAGACAGCAGCAAACCATTTGAAAACTAACCATGCAAAGAGCAGTGTTGC